TCCCTGCATTGTGCCTACATATGCAAATTAACCGCCATCTTTGTTGTCAGTTAACTGCCATCTGAGTTGGCAGTTAATTTGCATATAGCCCTGATTAGCCAATGAAAAGGGTAGCGTCGTACACCAATTACCATTTTTTTCTTTTATTAGTGTAGATATTAGGAGAGTTTCAGGAAAATTCCGATCAAAAGACTTAAAGGCTTCAGAGTATAAGCAAAAATCATGTCAAACCCAAATGAAATAATTTAAATTATGAGAGGAGGGGTGGGGAAGAATTCAACCATTTTAACATTTAGAGTTTCTTAGGGATTGTCATTATAGTCACTAACATACTATCAATTTTTTAAAGGATCTTTATTGAAAAGACCAAGCATGAAATGTCTATGTGCTTTGAGCCACTGTACCCAGCTTTGTCTTTCCCAATGGCAAATGTTTTTAGGCAACTTGTAAATAATCATAGTAAGTTTGTGGAGGCTGTATCTAAGAATTAAGTTGAACAAAGGAAGTATATAAAGGGAGGTCTAGAAAAGAAGTAATTGACAAAGTGGAACAGAAAATAAATCATTAGTTACTCTTCCTTCAACCAATATTTATTGAGTGTGGGTCCTATGCCCAGAACTGTTTGAGAGATAAACTATGTGAATGAGGCTCAGCCTTTTTCTTCTTCTTTTTTCACAGTAATGGATAAATCACACCCCTTTTAGTAAATTATTTAATAAATAATTACTGAATACTTACTAGGCTTCTGACATTATTGCTTAGTTGCAGGAGATACAATGGCAATAAAATTACAAAGTCCCCATTAATATGAAACTTGAGTTTCATAAGGGAGCCAGCGTGTATACAGATCCTAGAAGTTGATAAACACTAGAAAAACATTAGCTTCTTTTTTTTCCTTTTTAAATTTATTTTTTCCTTAAAAGTATGCCATGTGCAAAACCCTTCAAAACTATTAAAATGAAATGGGCTTGCCCTAGCCGGTTTGGCTCAGTGGATAGAGTGTCGGCCTGCGAACTGATAGGTCCCAGGTTCGATTCTAGTCAAGGGCATGTACCTTAGTTGCGGGCACATCCCCAGTGGGAGGTGTGCAGGAGGCAGCTGATTGATGTTTCTAACTCTCTATCCCTCTCCCTTCCTCTCTGTAAAAAATCAATAAAAACATATTTTTTAAATGAAATGGGCTTATTGGAAAGTCTCCAGAACTTCTTGCAGCAAGTGAGGAAGGCAATGTGCATTTGCACTTACAGTCAGAGCTCCCCTGAATGGCTCCTTTCTGCTTGGTTCTAGTATCTTCTGATAGCCTCGGCACCCTCACACAATGCCATTCAACCAGTGCATGTGGAATAAATATTTCTTGAATTGAATCAAGTTATTTGAAGATAAGGTCCTCGTCTGTATTA